TGGGCGTTGGCCGAGCCAATGTACCCGATGATGACGGCGGGCCCATGCCACTGGAGCGCCCACTCCATCTTCGGACTGCCGTTCCTCTCCAGCAGCACACCTGGTCATCGACTGGGCGGACTTCGGACACGCGCTGGGCGCCGTCGGCTGACGGCGATTATTTTGGAGGACACTTAGTCCGATGCTACCCGCTCGCGGGATGACAACCGTCCAGCGCTGACTACGAGACAATAGGGCAGTCGTACACCGCGCCCCAGGACCCACTGCGTCGGCGAATACCCCGACAGGTTCACGCGGCTATTCGTGGCCAAGCACACGGACGCCAGCAACCACTGCACCTTGTGATCCTGTTCAGACCGGTCGAACACGAGGCTGCACTGGTCGATCAGCTTCAGGGCATGAATCTTGAACAACCCGCCATGGCGCTCCACCGTGGCGTTCCGCTGCGGGGCGGCCTCCGCAACGATCGTCAGCCTGCAACCAAGGCCCTCGAGCCCCATCCAAAAACTCGCTCTCGAACCCCCCCACATCAGACACAACCTGCGCGGGCGCCCCGAACGGCGCGGCCCAAACCCGAAAACAACGGACGGGCGTCTCGCAGCGACGGCCCCGACCATGGTGGAGCCCGAGGCCAGGTCGACAACGTTGGTGGATGTCAGCGGGTTCCGGAGCCGTCGGCCAGCATGAAGGTCGACGTTCGATGGATGCGCAGAAATCTCGATCCAGCCGATTTCGCCCTGGTAGATCGGGCAGCGGGCGCTGGTGCGAAACGCACACTTCGCAGTGGAGGTCCACGGCGGCCTCGACCGATCGCTGAGAGCCTCCCGCAATCCGAATCGCACGCGCCAGCGCGTCGTTGGACGGGCGCCCCCGCTCGGCGCGGCGCTGCATCGCGGCGGATTTCAGCGGGCGCATCACAAGACCCCCGCCCCCCACAAGAAGAACATGAAACAAACCACACCGTCTAACGACGCGCAAACTGCAAACGGAAGCCGCTCGACAGTACGCCAACGACAACGCCGAATAACTTAATGCGAACGGCGCGCTGCTGCTGTGCACACCGACGTTTGGACTTGACGTTGCCTCGTGCTAACACACGATCACCGAGCCCTCTGGTTCCGGCGGCGGCGCGACAGGTCCTTGGGGGTGTAGTTCGAGCCCCTCGCCGCCGACATCAGCAACCAGGACCGAACGATAGCCTCGGCCACCGCGGGCCTGGCCCTTGCCCTTGCCCTTGCCCTTGGGCGCCGAGCAGTCGGCGTCGCACGCCCAGCGCCCTGGCCCGCCGTAGTCCCAGCAGGTTGACGATTTCTGTTCCGTGATTTCTTCCACTGGTCGATGCTTTCCCGCAGCTCACCGCCCCTCGGCGCTTCTCAACGCGGGGCAGCGCCGCGCCTTCCACGGCCGCCGCGCGGTCGCGAGAGTGGCGGGCGCGCCCAGTCCTGAGAATGGACGTCGGGGAACTGTAGCGCTCATCAAGAAAATAGCTGATGACACGCTCGCGTCGCGATGCACCCAGACCGGCCTTGCGCAGCAAGAACCATGCGGCCACGTCGTCGAGCTGGTTCAGGTCCACCTCGTTCTCGCATAGTTATCGCAATCCCAGATCGAACCTGCCGAGCCAATCTGTAATGCGCTCACCGTGGCGGCGGTGATGTTGACCTCTCTCGAAGAACTTCTCAAACGTCTCGCCGTTGTGCACTGGCTTCTGCTGCCCGAATAATCTTTCCAGATGTCTTACGAATTTGTCGATGCCCCTAACATTGCCGTCACGCTTCGACTCTGCTGGATCTTCAATGTCGGCGTCCGCTGGTGGATCTAAATATGTTTCCTCCATGTTGAGCTCCGCAGACCGCGTGGTATTTGTCAGCTGCAAGACCTAGGTAAAGCCAGGCATCTCGAAACTTTCAATTTCACGCTGAAATTCCACAACTGGAGTTCCTGCTTGTGCTTGCGTTCGTTCGACAGGTCGCATCTCCAGCTCGGGACCACGGAGTAATCCCCAAACGACCGGTCGCTCTGAGATACACCTATCAAGCTGGCGATGATGTCGCTGATGCTGATGACGTCGCTGATGCTGGCAAGGTCGAGGCTGTAGAGGTGGAGGCGGGCGTCGCAAACGCTGGCGGAGAGGCAGTGGGTGTAGATGCTTGCGTCTCAAACGCTGGCGACGATGCTTTCGGCGAACAGCAGGAAGCCGCTGGGCTTCGATTCCAGTGTGGAGGGACGCGTCGCTGACGTCGTCATGTCGAAGAGATGGACGGCCCGTAGACTGGGACAGCGAGCCTCACTCCAAGCTGCCACTGTGGTATGGAAGATCGCGGTGTCATGGCTGATCGCACTCTCGCTGAGAGGATTGCGTAGCTCAATCAGCCAAGGACCCTGAAAACGTTTGGGCCAAGGTAGGCGATAGTAAAGCGGGTGAGAGCAGCAAGAGCAGGAGCAGGAAGAGGGCGCGCAATAGAATCACAGGAGGATCACACCGCATCGCCGACGGCAGGATCGAGAAGATCGGGCTCCAGCTCGAGACGCATCGCCGTTGCATCGGCGATGCGGCGCGACCCTCCGACAACTCCAGCCCCTCTTGGGAGGCGTGGACGAAGCTCGATCCTCGAACCTCGATCCTCTGCGGGCCGTCTGCCTGTCCGCCCCGCTGTCAAATCGCCCGTCTGTCCACTCGCTCTGCCGCGCTGTCCACCCTGGCAGCAGCCCGTCCCGCCGTATGCTCCTATGCTCCTCACCCCACCAGCACCCCGTCCGTACTCTCCCGCCCCCCTCCCCTCTTCCCAGACCGTCTCAAGCACGACTGGAAGTCTTTCCCGGTCGTCGGCCTCTGGAGGCCCTCGAAGGACCCCAGGGTCGTCAAAAATCTGCTCGGGACGAAAAACTTGTCCCGAGGAAGAGGTCTAGACCTCTGGGGGCCTTTGAAGGACCCCGTGACCGTCAAAAATCTGCTCGGGACGAAAAACTAGTCCCTGGGAAGAGGTCTAGACCTCTGGGGGCCCTCGAAGGACCCCAGGGTCGTCAAAATCTGCTCGTGACGAAAAACTAGTCCCCGGGAAGAGGTCTAGACCTCTGGAGGTCCACGCTGCACGCTGTCGGGTGTCTGGAGCCCTCCCCTCCCCTCCGTCGCCCTCCTCCCTCTACCCCTCCCCGTCGCAACGAGGAGCTAAGTATCTCCACTACGAGTGACATACAAGCTGGATACATCCGAAGTTCAACCATGTGCGTTTCAAGAGGCATGCGCGAGTCAGGGCTCTGGATCTGTACGATGTGGCACGTCATGGTTAAGACAATGGAGGACAGGCTATGTGTGAGCCGCGTTTGATGAAGGCGAGTCAGGGCTCTGGATCTGTACGATGTGGCGCGGCATGGTTAAGACAATGGAGGATAAGCTAAAAGTGAGCCGCGTTTGGTGAAGCTGTCACTCGAATACAACTGCTCCGATCTGGGGAAGAAATGCCAGCGTGTGGACCCCAAGACGCTTCCAGGCGGCTGCCCGGACAAGTAAGGCTGGTACCCTATAGGCGGGACACTATAGGGCCCCCTGGACGGGGAGGGGAGGGGGCACGCAAAAAAAGAGTTAAAAACATGTGGCCCTGCAGGCGGGACCCCATGCGTAACTGCGAAGAAGCCCGCAAGTAGGGCTTTCCCAAGGCCTGGGACCTTGCAAACGGGACCCGGGTGCTCCACCGGAAAAAAAGCCGCAATGCACAGAGACTACGGCAAGCGCATTGTGAGCGGGACTCTGTCGACACGCGGGAAAGCGTCACAATGCAGGGCGACTGAGGCCGTGGGCCTGCTAAGGCTGGGATTAGAGATTTCTGCCGCCTGGGGAACCGATCTCCCAGGACCCCAGGCGGGATGTGTCTGGGCCCCAGGGGGGCCCAGACCATATCCACTGGCCTCCCGAGGAAGAGCGGCTCTCCAGGCGGTGGATGTGCATTTTGAACTCGCGGCCTCAGACCTGCGGGCTCATCCAATGCGCAACCGCGAACGAGCCGCAGCGCAGGACAAACGAGGCTGAGACCCTACGGGCGGCAGCAGCCGGAGGGAGGCCGCACCGCAGAGCTATTGAGCCAAGGACCCCGTGCGCGGGATCTTGAGCGCAACACGACAGAAGCCGCACCGTTCGCAGGCCCCGAAAGAAAAGCAGGGACCATGGGGACAGGATCCGATGCACAACCGGACAGAGGCAGAGCTGCTAAGGCTGGGACCCGATGGGCATGCGCGAACCCTTCTGGCACCCAGAATGGAACCGCGACGCTATCCGCGGCCAGGAGGAGCTCTTTCTGGTTGCCAGGCGTTGCGGCTCATTTCCACCTGGCTATGCGGCCCCGCGGATGGGGCCTGCGAGCCTCAGGTACCCTGCACTGCGCGGCCTCGAAACCGCAGCGCAAGGCAATTGAGAAAGGAGCCTTATGGGCGCGACCCTGTTCTTGGCGCGATGAAGGGCCCCTCTGGTACCTACGACCAGGCGCCAAGTAAGCGTCCTGGCAGCTACCAGCACTGTTTGCAAAACAAAACGCTTGATTGCTCAATGGGATCGAAGAGAGTCGACGCCGAGCATGAGCAAGCTGTGGTCTGGTCAATGATGGACGGAACAATACTGAAAGACTGATCTGACGAATCACCCTCGCCAGTGGCAAACGGTATCAAAAAGTATCCACTCGGGAAGTCGCAGCTGTGCCAGCAGAGGCTGACATGACAGATGATCTGGCAGTTCATGCATTCATTCTTCAACTCATACACCTTTTTTCCGCCCCTTCGTCATCCTCTCCTCCACCTTTCCAGATGTTCGACGTCACGATTCGTTCGTAACGTGGGCCCCTGGGGTTCTCGAGCCGACAAGCTTTTCATTCCGAACCGTTGTTGGTTGCCCTGAAGCCCGGCACGGGGCCATGTACGCCCAAAGTGACGGAAAAACAGCCGCCATTGACTACTGGTGGCGAAGGCGGCCTGGATCATCCTCGTGCCAGACAAGCAAGTCGCGGGGGCGCCTCGGAAACGAAGCAGAGCCATTCCCAGAGGCGCTGCCGTTGCCATCGGCCTGGGCTGCGGCACGCGACTGCAGGGCACCATCCATACTTCTTCCGACGCTAGACTTGTGCACCCGCGCGCACGCACGCGCGCACCCCAACCGTAACGCTTCGGCCCGAGAGACGCTTCGAGCTGCGAGCGGCGCGGCCTACTGCACCGAGTTGATCCTTTGAAAAAAAACATGTGTTTGAGCAAGGGGTCGGGGCCACAACGAAGTGGTCGAATTACACATGCCCACACACACACACACACGCAGGCGCACTCGCACTCGCATTCGCACTCGCACTCGCACACGCACGCGCACACGCTCACGCACACGCACACGCACGCACGCACGCACGCACGCATGCACGCACGCACGCACGCAATCACACACACACACACACAAACACACACACACACACACAAACACAAACACACACACACACACACACACACGCACACACACGCACACACGCACACACGCACACGCAAACATACACATACACACACACACTGACACACACACACACACAAACACACACACACACACAAACAAATACACACATACTCACACACACACACACACTCTTACAGACACACACACAGACACACACACACACAAACAAACAAACAAACAAACGAAAAAACAAACAACCAAACACGCGCACACACACATACACATACACACACACACACTCAAGAGCACACACACACACAACCACACACAAGCACAGACACACACTTTTGGCGGTCGCGGCCTCGCACGAGGCGACGACATGAAACAAGTCAATTACGGCGGCCGAAACTTAAACCAGCGCGCGCGCGCGGGCCGGCTCAAACTGGGGCAGCACAGTGTCATCTGGCCGCGCACTCGCGCACTGGCCGACGCCCATGGGGACATCTCAAGCGGGGGAGGCACAGTGGCCTCCTGCACGACGAGCACGGTCAACAAAATGCCAGGGGGCGCCACCGCCCGGCTTGCCTCCACTGCAGGCCCGACACACACACACACACAGTCACACACCTTTCGGTCGTCGCGAGCGGGCGACTCGCCACACAGCAAGACGCGCCGCGCGAAGGACCGCGCGCGCGCCCCGTTGCCAGAAGAGAGGCAAGGACAGGCGAGACGACCGACCCTTCACGGGGTAATGGTCAAGTGCGGCGCCAGGGCAGCGAGGCAGCGGGCAGGCGCTGGCGGGCGGCGAGCCGCCGCGGAAGAATGGCGCCAGAGATGGAAGAGCCCGGCACGTAGCGCGGCGCCGCCCGCTGCAAGGCATGCACGAAGCATAAAAGACGTCCTGCGCATGCATGAGGGGGAGGCCGCGCGCGGCGAGCCCGACGGCCACCCCGAACTCCGCCGACATAGGGACTGCCTTCGAGGAGGCAGCGGGAATAGCGCCACGGAGGATGGGGTAGGCGAACGATGTCCTGCTCGTCTCTGGAAGTCCAGCTGGCGGCGGGGACGTCGCCAACTAGCAGGGCCCGCAAGCGCTGCACTGACTCGCCCAGGAGGCTTGCATCACCATCCTAGAGTCTGGCGGAGAAGGGAGTGGTGGAGCAGGCTCCCGGCCCCCGCGGCATGGTGGCGCGCGCTGTCGCTTGGCGCGCGAATGGGCCCCCCCCAGGCGAGGGCGTAGGGAGCGCGGTCGAAGGGAACCGCGAGCTGCCCAATCGCCGCCGGCATCATCTCAGGGCCGAGCGCGGTCACGCCGACCGCGTGGAGCGCGGCGGGGGAGGGGGCGCCGTTTGGCAGGCCGTGGACGGCGACGGCAGGGGGGGCGGCCGTTCGAGCGCGACCAGCTGCGCTGGGCCGCGGAGGAGGCCCAGCCAGTGACTGAGCGCGGCGAGCGGGGCACCGCCGCGGTCAGCGGCGACGATCACCACAGGCGGGCCCTCGCGGCAGGCGCGCGACGCGGCCCCATCAAGGATTGCCGCGACCCCCCAGCAGGCCCAGCCGCCCGGCAGGAGGACTTCGCAGGCCAACGCGCAGACGCACTCCGTGCCCAGGAGAAACGCGGGCGAGATGGTCAGCACCGCTCCGAGGGCAAGGACGGACTTGGCGAGGAGGACAGGCGGGACGCTTGGCCCCCTGCGCCCCGGGACGAGCCTCCAGGGAAGAGGGGCGAGCTTCCGGGCCCACTGGGCGGGAATCCGGCAAATCCACGCTGGCCACGGGGCCCGGGGCAGCGGGCAAGGCGGGGGCGGGGCCGGCTGTCCAGGCGGGCCGCGCGGCGCGGGGCCAGCACGCGCCACGGGGAGCGCGCTGCCCCTGGCCGATCAGAACCAGAACAGGAGGTGGCAGGCGGACGGCGGCAAGGAAGGACTCCGCCATGGCCGCCACGGCCTGGGAGCTGCGGAGTAGAACCCGGAGGGCACCTACGGGGACGGGGCTGCACTGCCCCCCGACGTACTGGTTCGCCTTGGACGTTGCCGAAGCCGCCGAGGCTTCGGCGCCCACGATGCCTGCATGAAATTGGCGAGCCAGGCCAGGAGCGCAGCGCCCAGCCCGTCTTGCTCCCACGCAGTGAGGGCGACGCGGAGGCGGGAGGACAGGAAGGCCCAGATGCGCATACTGAGCCATGCCCATGGGTTAATGCCGCGATTACTGCGTCGCGGGGCTCGGTGGCGCAGCGCGTCGGAGTTCGCGCCAAGGCCAGATCCACGTCAGATAGCTGGCCGTCAGGGGTGAAGGGTCAACCCACGATGGGGAACTGTTCTGCGGAGGAAAACGGGAAGTCGGTGAGTGAGAGGGCAAAGGCCGCTGGAGCTCCACCCTCGGCGATCCGCGCGCGCGACGGCGCGTTCCTAGACAACACCGTCTAGGCCCCCCCATCAACAGCGGGGGCGCGCGCGGGGCGGCCTCCCCAGAGTCGAGCGGCAGATCGCGGGCCATCCTCTGGAGCAGCGCCAGGGCGCCACCCTAGGCGCCTACGCCGCACCCAGTCCTGGGCGATAGGGCAGATCGCACATGCAGGGAGGGGCGCTTGGAGGAAGGAAGGATAGAGGGCGGCGGGCGCGCCGGGCTCGACGGTGGCCCACATGACCGCGCAGAAAAGCCCGCCCGGCGGCGCGCGCGCCGATCGGCCGAGGCGCGGTCAAAAAAAGCGGCGGCCGCGCGTGCTCAGCGTCTGCGAAGCCGCTTCGAGGACCACGCTCATCGGCGTCGCGCCGAGCGACCCGGCGCGCCTGCAACCTTTCCCCGAGGTCGGAGTCGATCGGGGAGCCCCTCGGTGAGGAAGGGGGCAGGAGGACGTCCTGGCACTGGTCCGGAAGAGTGCAGAGGCGGTCCTCTCCTCGGCCCCTCGACTTCGGGGGTCGACACCCGCCCTGGGATGAGTAGCCAGGCTGCGGCCTGGAAGAGCCAGGGAGAGCGGGAGCGAGGGCGGCCTGGGCTCAACAAAGCGGTAGGGCGCCTCTAAGCAGGAGGCACCGCACAGGCAGAACCAAGTCTGCAACCTGCACATCCCAGCGCGAGCGCGTCCACGGCGAGAATGGGATGGCACGGGGCCTGTCGGCCCCGTGGCACATCCAGGCAAGCGCCTCTGCAGCGCTGCTTTGCAGCCTGGGTCGGAGGTCTTCGCGCGGGGAGTCACAGTCGTGGAGCTGCTGCTGGAGGAGCGCGGCCATCCGCCTGTCTGAGTCGGGCCATCAGGCTGCGATAAGCGGCCCCGGGCGGTCGGCGCGCCCTGCGCCGAGCTGGCGGTCGCCAGGGAGGCCGCCACCGTCAGAGCGGTGCCTCTGGGAGACTCGGAGCCGAGGCGCTGGAGGAGAGGTGGAATCAGGGAGCGGGGACATGGGAGGGGAGGGCGAGGCACCAAAGGAGGGGCAGTGGCAGGGGCCGATCGCCGACCGCGAGCACCCTTGCACCCTGCCGTCGTCGTCAGGCCACAGTCCACACAAGGTCTCACCAAAATTCACCGAGCGGCTTCATAGAAGACCTGGCCCCCACCGACGCGCGCCACCTCCTCGGCGACGACACGCCGCGAAACGCCGCGGGGGGAATGGGCGCGAAGAGGAGGACAGGCCCAACGCGAGACCCCCTTGCAAGCATAGCACGTGCCTGCACCACCAAAGCAGGCCCCGCAGACAGGGGCCCTCTGTTTTGGCGGCTACTGTTCGGAAGGGATGGGATCCGCAGCATGACATATGCGCAGCTCCCTGGAAAGACGGTGGCGTGCACTGGCAGACTTCTCGGCTTACGCCCGCACAGCCTTTGAAGGTCTCAGAGCCGCAGAGCACGCACGGTCGCCCGAGCCATCGATAGTGACCGGCTGCCTCCAAGGCTCCGAGGACAGGGAGGGCCATCGTGGAGAATGCAAGGTGCGACGCGGGGCTCGATCCCTTTCGCGACTCTCGTGTCGCCAGGGGAGAGCCACCCAAACCGCAAAGTTGGTACTGAGCCCCCAAAACTCCGTCTGCCCAACGGTTCCACATAGATTTCCAATCGGGTGTGCCCCGCACCGCACTCGTATTCCGCTGCAGGTACCGAACGAAAGCAACTGATTTCGGCTGGGCGTTGTCGTCGTCTGGTGCTGGCTCCCAAGTGGACGGTTCAGCGCGTCGGGGCATCTTCCGTGTCTGTTCGTTTCCCTGCTCTACTGGTGGTCGGTATCGCTGCCGATTGCCATTCGCACGTGTCACCTCCTCTTTCCTTGTCCGCTGGCTGCCTCCCTGCGTTAACCACTGGTCCGCACCCAGTCCCATGTTGACGCGTGACACGCAGGGATTCAGCTTTCCCGTTGGAGCGTTTCCTCGAAGGGTGACCAGTCATGCTGCTGTGAGGCCACAGCCCTGGGGGCCTCAGCGTCCCTTGTCGAAGAGACGGCGCATTCCGAAGGACGAGCGGTGGCATGTGTGCCATGAGCGTATCGCGGTACGTAATCGTACAGATCAACCACCCCCGTTCTGCAAGCACCTTCACGTCGAAGAAACGAAGCCAGTAGTTGTGTTTCTTGCCTTCGTGGGTCCAGACCTGCGTTCGCGACAACTTCGTCACCAATGTGAGCCGCCCAGCGGCCGCCAGCGGGGATTGGATCATCTCTCGTGCCGATGAAGTAAGCCACCGCGTCCGCAAGAGCCCGCTGTATCCCACCGAATTGGTGGACGGGGTGCTCGCCAACCTGGGCCCAATCACGGGAGTAGAATGCGATCAGGACGCTACGACGTCCAGTTTCCAATGTTGTTCGCCTTCTTTATGTCGACACCGTCCTGCACACAGTCCCTCGCAACCTGGCGCATATGCATATTGGCTTCTGGACCTTTTCGGCGGAAACGATCCACCAGGGCCTTCAGTTCCAAGCTGCTAAAGTACACGCTGCTGCATCTCCAAAGATATCCGTCTAACTCCAGATGTTCAACCGTAGGAAAAGAATGGTCAATGTCCTGGGTGTCTTCTGTCTCCGCCATGGCCAGTTCCTGAAGTGCTGGGAACTCCCATAGCGCATCGTTGGTAGCGGACTTGGCCAGGAAACTGTCAAGGACCATGACTTCGTGGTGGCATGGGTCGCTTCCCCTGTAGGGCGACCGGTCGCCCGTGATGTGTTGCTGCCAGACAGCATCAAGGGGGCCATGCGCCTGTCCGTTTAGCCTTGCTCCCATGATCAGCCACTTCACGCACGCACTGTGACAGTGTGCGCTGCATGGGGTCAAAGCGACCATTCATTGGACGCCCGTTCATTCATTGGAAACACACACACACATACTTGGCGATCGCGGCCCCGCGCGCAGCGTCGAGACGAAAGCACACGTACACACACACACACACACACACACACACACACACACACACGTACACACACACACACACAAACACACAGGGAGGGAGAGAGAGAGGGAAAGAGAGAGAGAGAGGTAAACAGCAAAAAGAGAGACGAGAGAGAACAACAAGAAACGAAAGAAAGAACAAACAATGTTAGCCAGCGTGGGCCCCAAGCAGTGAGCTCTGGCGCTGTGGGAAGAGAAAGCCGTGCGGTGTGGTGCAAGCTGTGTCGTGCAAGCTGCGTGGTGTGAGCTATTGGGTGACAGCTGCGCGGTGCAACCTGTGTGGTGTAAGCTATGTGAGATGGGTGCCGGCGCGGTGGGCGGCCACGAGGCGCCCACAGACACACCCACCCAGCGCTCGAGGCGGCCACGAGGCGGCCACGATCGGCAACGTGGCGAAACCTCGCGGGACCCACCCAGCGCTCGAGGCGGCCACGAGGCGGCCACGGGCGGCAACGTGGCGAAACCTCGCGGGACCCACTTGGCGCAAGAGGCGGCCACGAAGCGCCCACGGGCGGCAAGGTCGAGAATCCTCGCCAGGCCCATCCAACTCCTCATTGACAGAAGCAAGAACGCCTAAATGATGGCACTGCTGAGGGGAAGACACACAAGAAACACAAAGAATGAAAGAGAGACAAGAGAGAGAGAGAGAGAACAAAAAAGAAAGAGAAAGTACCTTGCCGCCCCTGGACAGCCAGCCACAGATCGGTGCGTGGCCACATCCGCCACCGATCAAGCCAACACAATCAAGCCCGACAACGGGAGCACGTCGACGCAGCTTGGTCAGTATCGGGCTGACGTTTCGCCCCTCTCGGGGCTCGACTGAATTAAATCGACCATCGATTGACGCAAAACTATGGAAGCACTGCTCCGACCCGTGCGAAAGAAGCGGCTTGGGTTCCCAGGTTCGAGGCACCGTCTGCGGAAATGATTCGGAAAAGCGGCACTCGTCACGACCTGTCCGAATTCCTCCTCGCGTGGGTGGAAAGGCCGAACGCAGAAGAGGTCCGATGTATGCGCCTTTCCATGTCCTGGTGGGTTGCGCAGCGGAACCGCCTCCGCCACCACCAGGGAAGGCTTCCCAACTTCCCTCACCATCTTGGGCGGGAGGGCGCACGTAAGGCTGAGCAGCGCCACAGGGGAAGAAGGAGGGGGAAAGGGCGCCTGCAGCCGCTTCTGAGCACCCGCCGCCGCGGCTGCACCCCCCGACCTCTCATGAGGTGCGTCCTGGCCAGAAGTTCGACTCGGATCCAGCAGCGGCGACGAGGAAGCCCCAGGAGGCCCAGAAAGAAAAAAGAGTCATATGATTGATATCATTCGTAGTATTATTAGTATTAGTAGTCGTATTCTTGATATTGCTATTATGATTGTAATGAATAGTATTAGAAGTATTATTAATAATAATATTAGTATTCGTATTATTATTCGTATTACGAATATGTCTATTATGATTCATAATAACAGTATTAATGATAGTAGTACCATGTGTAGTACTATTCGTATTATTCGAATGAGTAGTAGTAGTAGTAGTAGTAGTAGTAGTAGTAGTAGTAGTAGTAGTAGTAGTAGTACTCTTACTACTATTATTATTACTGGTAATATTATTCATCGTATTATTACTACTAGTATTATTAGTAGTGGTAGTATTAGTCTCAGTATTATGAATGTGATTATTATTATGATACATATGTTATTATTAATCATATTAGTAGTACGAATATTAATACTTAATGACATTATTCTTAACAGTAGCATTAACCTTTTTAGTAAGAATATTATTACAAAAAATTGTATTATTATTAATATTAGTATTACTCGTCCTGTGATTCTTGGTATTAGTAATATTATTAATAGTATTACTAATGCTATTAAAATTAATATTAAAATATTTTTTAAAAAAAATGTTATTATCAATAATATTAGTAGTATTCTTAATAGTATCCTTACGATTTCCTGGTGTAACCCTTAGTATTATTATCATTATTATTGGTACTGTTCGCATTAGTAGTATTATTGTGATTAGTATTATTATTATTGCTACTAGTATTATTATTCATAGTATCACCATTATTCTCATTATAATTAGTATTAGTCTTGTTGTTTTCCTAATAGTATGTTTATTCTTATTATTCGTAATAGTATTCTTCTTATAGTTATTAATATTAGCATTACTAACAATAGTATGAATATTATTACCATGTAACGCCCCTCACGGGGGTAGAAACCAATTGGACCAAGTGAATTTATCCTCGTCCTCCTCCTCCTTTTCCTTGTCCTCCTCCTCCTCCTCCACGTCCTTCTCCTCCTCCGCCTCCCTTCCCCTACCTCGGGCGTGATGGACCATAGGACCTCATGGAGCCTCCTGGTAATCCCGGGGGGCCTCCTGGGATAGCAATCTCTGGGGACTTCCTGCGGCCTCTTGAAACCTCCTGGGCTCTCCTAGGGTATCCTCAACCCTCCAGGGGCGTCCGCAGCGTTCTGGAACTTTTGGGTCGTTCAAGATACGCTCGGAGCGTGATGGGACCTCCTGGGGCCTTGTGGGACCTCGCGGGGCATCCTGGGACCTCCTGGAGCGTACTGGAGCCTCCTTAGGATTCCCACGGCCTCCGGGGACGTCCTGAAGCCTCCGGGAGCTTCCTGATGCCTCCTGAGACCTCCTGGGGCCTGTTGGCGGCTCTCTAAGAAGCCACGCGCGGGGCCTCAAAATTGGCGACAGTTTCAAGGATGGGAGCCTTCCCATTGAGAAAGAAAGCGCGGTGGACGTTGAAAAATGACGACAGTTACACACTTGAGGCCCAAAAACGTGCCGGGCGCCGCCCCCCGCCATTCCCGGTCCTGCATAGTACGGTGCGATGTGCCCCCTCCCCGCTGTCCCGCCGGTCCCCGGGAGGGCTAGTTTTCTAGTTTTCGCTGGGAAGGAACACTTCCCCCCCCTTTCGGCGGCGACGGAGGGCAGGCGGCGGGGGAGAGCGGGTTGGCAGGGTGGCTGGTTGGGCACGGAGCGCAGGCGGAGGGGATCGGCTGGTTGGCGGGATGACGGGGTGGGCGGCTGGGCTGGTTGGCTGACGGGTTGGCTAGGTGGCGGGGTGGCTGGGTGGGCTGGCTGGCTGGTTGGACGGGTTGGCAGGTTGAGCTGGCTAGGGCAATTGGTTTCGATTATTCCTCTTCCTCTCTCCTCCTCCTCCTCCTCCTCTTCCTCCTCCTCCTCCTCCTCCTCCTGGTCGCTCCCTCTCCTCCTCCTCCTTCCTCCTACCTCCGCCTCCTCCTCCTCCTCGTCTCGTCCTCCTCCTCCTCCTCCTCCTCCTCCTCCTCATCCTCCTCCTCCTCCTCCTCTCCTCTTCCTCCTCCTCCTCCTATCCTCCTCCTCCCTCCTCCTCCTCCTCCTCCTCCTCCTCCTCCTCCTCCTCCTCATCATCCTCCTCCTCATCCTCCTCATCCTCCTCCTCCTCCTCCGCTCCTGCTCCTCCTCCTCTTCCTCCTCCTCCTCCTCCTCCTCGTCCTCCTCCTCCTCCTCCTCCTCCTCCTCCTCCTCCTCCTCCTCCTCCTCCTCCTCCTCCTCCTCTTCTCCCTCCCCCACCTCCCTCCTCCTCCCTCACCAAGCTCCCTCTTCCCTCTCCGGATCCTGGGGCTGGCAGCTCCACTCGTGGGTGGCAGCACGGCCTTGGCAACTGTTTCTCAGGGAGCCCTCTCGGGGAACCCCGACCCAATCCGATTTGGGCCGCTCGTTAACGGGGGGTGGCCGTACACGTGGGGTGAAAAAATGTACATCATCTTTCGTGCACCTCTTGGGCCCGCGGTGGTACTTCAGAAGCCCCCATACGGCCCCTCCAGGGCCACCCTCGTGCAATCATCGACGCCCTCTGCGCTGACTGCCTCCCCGCTGCCGTCCGCCCGACCGATCCCACCCCACGACCCCTTGCGGGAGAGGCCGGCCTTGATCGCCTCGGATATCGCGTTGGCGCCTGGGCCTCCTGAGCAGAGGTTCTGGCCCATGGCTGCGCGCCGGGGGGGGCCGCGCTCTCGGCGATCCCGACCCACGGGGCGGCCACGTGCTGCGACGGCAGCGGCGGGCGGGCGGCGGTCCCAGGTCTCCGCCGCGAGCTGGCGCGACAGCAGTGGGCACAGACAGGCAACGGCAGGAGGCGTCGAGCTAGAACCGGCGATGCATGGCCGCTGGATCGGCGATGCCATCGGGCCCCACATCGGCGATGAAGGGGCGATCGGGCGCCGACGCACGCGTCCACCCTGGAACCTCTTCCCTCTCACGTTGCCCCTGACGGAATGCGCTCGGAAAGGTGGATACGATGCCCAGACGGCAGCGGCCGATGCTGAGCAGGCGGGTATTCGCCTCAAGCGGACCGCGTTCGCCGCGACATCGACAACAGATCCTGCTCAGCGGACAGGAGCTGCCGTCGGTCTTCGTGGACCACAAGGTGGATGCGGCCTGGTCGCTCGAGAGGACCGGAAGGCAGGAGAAGGAAAAAAGTAGAGCCGCTGAATGGGAGGACAAACGAGGCTGCGACCCCCCACCGCCAATGAGGAGGAGGAGCACAGAGGCAGAGAAGAGGTAGAGGCCTCCTAGATGGGGTTCGGGAAGATGGGGTCGGAGGATCGCGCCGCATCGGCGGTGCATCGGCGACGCCGGCGTGGAGAAAATCAGGCTCCACATCGAGCCGCATCGCCGATGCATCGACGATGCGGAGCGATCCTCCGATCCCATCTAATCCGACCACATCTAGAAGGCCTAGAAGAGGGGAGCATAAGGCAGCGGAAGCCAATATCTCTCTCTTTCTCTCTCTCTCTCTCTCTCTTTCTCTCTCTCTCCCTCTCTCTCTTTCTCTTTCTCTCTCTCTCTCTCTCTATTTCTCTTTCTATTTCTCTATATTTTTGTACTCTCTCTATATATATATACATACATACATACATACATACATACATACATACATACATACATGCATACTTACATACACCATGTGGGCTCCCTGGCTAGCAACAGAACAAGGCAGCGAGCATGCTAGAACGTGGGACTCGGGTCAGTGGGCTTTGCCCGACTCGGCCAAAATGTGAAGCTTGCGTCCTAGCTCACCACCCAAGCAAGCTGACAAGCAACAGGGCGAAACTCTATGGCACTGGCCCCCTGAGCACAGCCCTTCCTTTAGAGCCAAGAAGCACCAGGAAGGGAAAAATGCTCGAGGCCCCTGAAGACTGTCTTCAAGGCGCCGCCCACGCTAATAGAGAGACCCTAGATCGCCCGCAAAAATCGAGACTGCCCAGACTCCGAAAAAAATCTGAACTTCGGAAATCTCAAGAACCTTGATGTTTCCTGTCGATCCTCGAGAACCCCTACCTACGTCTAAGCCTGCGCCTGCGCCTGGTACTCCCCTAAGTTCGCGAGACTCTGAACCACCTTCCTCACATTCGGGCCCTGCGGAGGGCTGCCCGCCTGTTTCACACTGCCCTCGGCCCGCAAGAGAATGGATATCACCTGCCCCGCCACGGGCCTCAAGGGCAGAGTCGTGAAGAGCTCGACCCGATACATGTCCTCCCGCCAGTTCTGCTGGCAGAACGCTTTCTTCGCCGTGCACACTATGATCTTGTCCTCCAAATCTGCCGCGGTCTGGACCTCGCGCGCGCGCTGCGCCACCAACTCCTCGGCGTCGTCTGGGATCGTCGCGTCGCCCACGATCGACGCGCAGCGGCCGATCCACACATTCGAGCGCGCCCACTTCAGGCGCGCGAGCTCCTCCTGGTTGCCGGCAGCGCGACGCTGCGCCTTCGCCTCGTCGAAGCGAACCCCGTCTCCCCCATCGCTTCGAGCTGCACGCGCCCTGGCCTCACCAGCGCCACGAGCGACAGACTGCCTGGGAAGCGCCCCGTCTGAACGTCGAGGCCGACCACGGTCTTCGCCGCGTTCACCACCAGCTTGCGGCACCCCTCGTCGAAATTGCCTCCCACCCGCTGCCTCTGGGCCGGACGCCCGTCTGCCGCAGCGGGGACGCCCGCCGCCGCCTGCGCCGCCCCCTGCTGCAGCGCCAACATCCGCTGGGATGTCTGAAAGCGCGGGCGCCTCGGGAACGTCGCACCCGGGCAGAAAGACGCACGCCTCACGATCGTCTCGGACCACAAGATGTCTACGAACGTGTTCACGAAGCACAGAAGCAATGGAAGCCTCGAACTCACCGAACGGACAACATAGAGGCCCCTGAGATACTCGCTTGATTTCAATCGCCAACCCAGCCGTCGCATTTCCCCCTCGTCGTTTGGGACGCTTTTGTCGTTTGGCCCGAACTTCGACGCGATGACGAATCGAATCGATCGAACTGAAAACCCTGGAACACCAGCAACATTGATTACAGAAAACCGCGCGTCGATGCAGAACGCGTTTTTGATGAGCACAGCGCCCATGACACTGGCGAGCCCAAAAAAGACTTGAAGACCTGGGCACATAAGGCCCCGTCGGCGAACTGCAGGTCACACGGAAAACTCCCAAAACCTCAGTCCTGAAGTCCTGGCGGTGCAAATGCTCGTTCATATTCACGCGGGCGGCGGCAACAGCAGAATTCACGAAAATATGGACTGCAGCCATGACGAGGGCGACCAGCAGACGCGAGCTGACGGCGAGGCCCATCGCTTAGCGCACCCGTTAGAGCTGCGAGCAAGCAAAATGTTATTGCGTGGCTCGCGGGCAACCTTCCGCAGCTACTGCAGTCTGCGAAATCGAATCAGGCTCTCGAAGGCGGGCATGCCTAACTCCCCCCTCACCTTTGCATTCGCCCACGTTCGCACTGGTTCACCTCCTCCTCCTTCCGCCTCCCGACGTTCACATCCAGCTCCTTTGAGTAAAACCAGAAGATGGGCTTGATCAAAACGGTCCAAGACATCAAAATCTTTCTCAGTCCAGAGTCCCGCCCCCCCCCCCCCCCCCCTGATAGCATCGCGCTTCGCACCATGCTCTGGTGCACCACCGTCTTAATCTTCCTCCTCGTTTTTTAAATCCAGAAACGCCCCAGAGCACACCGGCCCACGCGGGCCGCCGTCAACCTCGCGTCGGTTTCACGATACGCCCAGCCATCAAGATTGCGCCAGCCCCCCAGATGTCGGATCCACTGATTAGCTGTTCCCTTATACTGGATAGCCCAAGTATTGCGATAAAACTCGCCCATTGCTTCTGATGGCCCTTTCCCGTGACATCTAAAAAGAATCTCTTTCTGATCCTCCTCATGATCGGGTTCCGCGACGTCCGTGACCACGGCATTGAACCCCATGCCCCACCTCTGCAATTTGTCAACTGCCCGATGGGCCAAGGAGTCGCCCTTCAAAAGGCCGAGGCGCGTCGCGTCCTCGGCGAAGGTGGCGAAAAGGAGGGAAACAAAAAAAACATCAACAATGCAGGAAAGCTCCTCCGCGGCCTCAATCCATCCAGATTTGCATCCGAGGGTCGCAAGCGCTTGTAAAACGAGACGGCGCTGCGCCACCCCCCTGGGGGCCCCCGCAACCAAGGCCCAGAAGGGCACACCCGCGCGCTATGCGACTCCAAAAATGTCATGGCTCGACGATGGCGGTGCTTCACGATGCGAGCCGAGTCCGCATCAAGTGCATTGTCTATCACACTATCCAAGGCGGCGTGTGAGACAGAAGCAAAGGCGTCAGCCATGTCGTCAAAAAAATCCATCCAGCTCAAGCCTCGCTGCGATACGCGCCACTGCACACAACGCACATGCAAAATATACCGTCCCCGTCGGCGCCCCGTCTGAAAACCAATGGAATTATGGCAGCCATGAACTTCCCGACGGCCCCAGAAAGCACCGTGGAAGGACTTCCCCACCGGGCCCAGGAGATGAATGACCCCCCCCCCCCCCCCCGCCTTACATTTGAGCTTCCCGCTTCCCTGAAGGACAGGACGCGCTTCACTCGCATGCCAGACATTGTGGGTCTCCTGGGATCGCCGAACAGCCAAAAAGAACTGGAGGGTCAGGCTGCAGAAGAAACCGCCACGTAGAAACCGCCGCGCTTCCCCTCCTCCACCCCCACGGAGAGCCCTCAGACACATCAACCAGCTATCGCGTGGGAGTGACCAGGCAGGGAGCCTTCGCTCTGTTCAAACGCCGAACCGCGCCCCAGACCAGAGATCCCAAAGAGCATCCCCATGTTGGCCTACGAGAAGACAAGGTAATTCAGAAACGGAGGGCAATTCAAGTCCTGAGTGCAATTCAAGTCCTGAGGGCAAGTCGAGCCCTGAGGGCAATTCCAGTCCCGAGGGCAATTCATGTCCTGAGAGTAATTCAGAACTTGGAGGTTATTCAGGTCCTAAAAGTAATTCAGGTCCAGGGAGTAATTCAAGTCCTGGACACAATTCAGATCCTGAGGGTGGGTTCCCGGAGTATCTGGACCCGAAGTCGCCGAGGACGCGCTGGCGGTTCTGCGGGGCATGTGGTACGTCGCGAACTAGGTTAGCGACCTCAAGAGGCTGTTCTCGGGGCCCTCGAAGCACTAGGGTCGCGTGCATTCCGCCTTCCGCCCCAGGCAGACCATATAGCCCATCCATTCCTGACAAGACGGAGGGCGCGCAGAGGAAAGAAGAAACTACCATTTCTTGGGCCCCAGTTGAGCGCCCGCAATCTTCCGACTCTGCCGCCAGACCTCCCTCCAATTATGTTGGGTCTCCGCAGCGGCAAGTTCATCCGCCCATCCATCCTGGGCGCGTCTGCAGTCACGTCGTCTAAGTTTGCGCAGGCGCTTCAGAACAATAAAAATTCACCAACCAGAGCCAGTAGCACTATCGTCAGGGGGCAGGCGTCGCAGTCACCACAACTCTGCACGAAGGCCCTTATACCGTTGATGCGTCTGCTGGGTGTCCTCAGCCAGTGGAAACGGGCGAGGGGCGGTCGATGTCGCACCGTATCTCTTTACAGCCAGGTCGCATAGCCCTCGATCCAAAAGATGCCAAGCGCCATCAACAGAGCCATGCCAACAATGAGCCCTCATCACCTCGCAAATCGAGGCTGTACTGGCCCATTGCTCGACCTACTGTACAAATTGTTGGCGCCCATCTGTAGCACGAAACCAATCCAACATCATGCGATCTCGATCCCAGCGGAACAATTTGCGATCCTCCTCGCGCCAGTCAAGACAGCGAGAATCCATAACCACAGGACAGTGATCAATATTCTTCGAAGCCGCGCATCTAGATTTACACAGCTGCAGCTTGAAACCAGTTCTGCACCAAACTTTGATCTGCTCAACTCGTGACATCGCCGTCTTGGGAATCGCGATATAGTCCACCCGTGTCTTGGAATTCCCCGAACCAACAAAGGTGGGGTTCCTCCTTCGAAACCATGTGTATTCACTAAAGCCAGATGATGCTGATTCATCGGCAATCGCCATAGAATACCAGAACGAGTTTCCACTTCGGGACAGGCGCGGCCCACTGCATCCCCCTCTGGCATAATCTGCAGAACGGAACCAATACGTTCGTAACCGCAGTGAAAATTACCATCGCACAACAGAATCGGCGGATAGCGAGCTGGCAGCGAGTCCAAGACATCTGAGATACATCGAAGCAACTGACGTCTCCACTGACGCCCAGCCTCGTCGTGGGGCTCGAGCATAAAATAGACGCTCACAAAGTATAAATCATAATGTGTAGACCACCTATATCTCACAGCACCACCTCGTCCTTCCAAACCACTGGGGGTCTCCCACGCGCGAACTCGACGATGGTTGGGGAAAATCGTCCGATCCAGAGCAATCATACATCCCGCTGAAGTGTTCGTGCCCGTCCTTCGAGTGCGTCGACGACTCGTAACATTGACCGTCTTAGTCGGCCACTGCCACACCTGCCACTTGTGCACTATCCTCCCTGCGAGAAAGAGAGATTGGTCAAATGAAATGTGCTTCACGCTTTGACATGCACCTGTGAGTGACAACACCTGGGCGGTGGAGAACTCTGCCAGCGCGTCCGAGAGGTTGCGGCGCAATGGCAGAGCCTGTGGGTTGTATTGCACACAGCGAAGTCTCCAGCCTTCTGCACCCGATGGCGTGAGCGGCCAAATCATATCCTGCCTTCAAGACTACGACGTCAGCACGCACGATGGCCTGCGAGGAGAGTCCCCACCTGGAAAATGCAATGGGAGCGGGGCGCCGCGCTGCTAGAAGGACCTGAGCAACACGGCAGCGCTAGCGGAAGCCAGTATGCTTGCAATGATCTCCCGCGTTCAGATACGGAACTCACGCTGTTTCTCACCGGGTTTGAATGACGGAGAAGATGTTCTGGCAATGCGGGAACGAGCAAAACATGTCCGCCACCGTGCCCTGAGGCACTAGCTGGAGTGTCCTCAGGTCCCTTCGAGTTCTTTGCATTGAGTTCTGCAAGTATTATGGGCCCACAGCCCGGAGTTCTGGGCGCCCTCGGGCGCTTTCGGGAGCTCTAGCGCGCTCGTGGGGGGTCCCCGCGTGACTTGAGGCCAAGAGCGCGTTGTTCAGGACATGCATGTCCAACATGGATTAAAATGGCCCCGGGGACCGTCCTGGAGCCCTCTTGGGCGCCTCTTAGGCCGTCTCGGAGACCGTTGAAAGGCCAAAATCGCCAAAACCTATTGATTGTTGTATGCCGTTCGCAGTACTCCCTTTTCGTCGGTATTCAAAAAATCCCACACGGCCCAAGAGGCCCCAAAATCACCTCCACACGGCCCGAAAGCCCCCGAGAGAGTCCCAAGAGGCCCCCAAGACGGCCCCAAGAGGGGCCCAAGAGGAGGAACACGAACTTACATGTTGAGGTCTCTGCCCCAAAATGGCTCCAAGACGCGCCCATGAGGCCCCGAGAGGCCCCGAAGAGGCCCCCAGAGGCCCAAGACGCCCCAAGACGCCCCCAAAACCACCTCCAAGAGGCATCTGAGAGGCCTCCCAAGAGGCCCTCACAGGCGTCCAGGAGGCCTCTGACCTACAACCCAGGCGCTGTGGCGGGATGGGCACAAGGACACCAGTTCCGCCGCCCCCTGCGGTCTGGCCATAAGGGTGCGCGGCGTGCCGACCGTCTGGCAAGCTCTTGATTATTTTAGAAAGAACTCCCCGCCAGGTCTCGGCCTAGCCCGCCGGCTACCCGAAAGGCCGCGCAGATTCCCCATAAAGCTCTCCAAGACGGCCCAGGTGGCCTCCAAGACGGCCAAGATAGCCCAAGATGGCCTCCAAGATGCCTCCAAGACGGCCAAGATGGCCCCGAGAGAGCCCAAGATAGCCCCAATATGGCCTCCAAGACAGCCCCAAAATACCTCTAAGACCGCCAAGATGGTCCAAGAGGGCTCAAGACGGCTCAAGAACCGCCCAAAAGGCCTCTAAGACAGCCCAAAAGGCCTCCAAGAGGCCCTCCGGGAAAAGAGACCCAAATCCTTGATGTTCCTCCAGAATTTGAGAGATGTTGGCATTTGCTTCAAAACGGTTTTCGGCTAGCCCAAGACGGCCTAAGAAGCCTCCAAGATGCCTCCAAGACCGCCGAGTTAGTCCAAGAGAGCGCAAGACGGCCCAAGAAGCGCCCATCAGGCCCCTCAGACGGCCCAGGAGGTCCCCAGGGAAGGCCCACAGAGACCAACATCCTCGATTTGCTCAGGAGCTGGAAAGATGTGGGCATCTGCTCCAAAACGGCCCCCCGACGGCCCAAGATGGCCCAAGAAACCCCCAAGATCGCCCCAAGATCGCCCAGGAGGCCTCCAAGATGACCCAAGGACGGCCCAGAAGGCTCCCACGGCCCCCACAGGCCCCAAGACGACCCAAGAGGCCTCCCAAACGCCCAAGATGGCCTTCAAGACGACCCTGAAGCGCCATAAGAGGACCACAAGACGGCCCACAGAGGCTCCCAAGACGGCTTCCGACGGCGTCAGACGGGCCAGGAACGCCGCAAGGTGGCCAAAGAGGCCCCCAAGAAGACCCCATAGGCCCCAAGGAGGCCCAAGGAGGCCACCAAGAAGCTCCAAGAGGCCTCCAGGAAGCTCCCAGGCGGCCCCAAGAATGACCCGAGAAGCTCCAAAGAGGTCTCCTCATCCTTCTCCTCAGCCTCATTTGTCGCCCTCTCGTCGTCCTCCAATTCCTCCCCCACGTGTTCCCCAAAGGGCTTCCACGACGGCTGGGGGAACGCAAGGTCCGATAGCGTGGCCAAACTTTGCCCAAACGTTTGGCCACATAGGCATATCATAAACGGCAGGGGGTGGCGGTGATTCGCCGCACGCGTCTTCGATATTGTGAGTGTATCTACATACACACGGAACATGCCGTCGGGCGAAGGCGCGAACGGATGGCGTAGTCTCTATTGCCTGCAGCAAGACCTTGTGATGTCAGCATGCCCACTTGAATGTTATGATGAGGAGAAGAGTTGAGAAGGAGAGAAGAGAGGAGTGGGGACGAGAAGAGAGGAGAGGGAGGGAGAAGAGAGGAAACCACCCACAGCTGGAAAGATGCGGATGCGAGGCGCGGATGCGCTTTTCTAGCGCGATCGCATGCCGGGAGCATGTGACCATGTGCTCCGCTGCTGCCGCACCACCTTGCCACATTCGTCTACCTTGGTCCCTCGCCCTCTCTCTCTATGTCTCTCTTTCTCTCCCCATTTCTCTCTCTCTCTCTCTCTCTCTCTCTCTCTCTGTTGAAATATACATCTATATTCAAGATATTATTGGCTCGCTTAGCTTCGCCACAACATCTTGTCCCTCATCCTCGTCCTTGGCGCAGGAGTGCGGATCTGGTATCTCACTGTGCTATTTGGACGACGGATTGTGTTGTGCTCGTGAACTTCATGGTTTGAGGTGTGTAGATATGGTGTGTGTTTGCGAGCTTGGCAGCCTTGGGAAGTTAGAAATGTTGTGGTTGCAAGGCGGATCACGGAGGGCAATTATGCTGGTGGTCGTGCTCGTGCCCGTGCTGGCATTCGTGCTGGAACCCGTGCCCGTGGGTGTGCTGGTGGCCGTGCTCCTGGTCATGGTGGCGGTCGTGGTGGTGATGGTGCTGGTCATGCTGGTGGTCGCGCTGGTGGTTGTGCTTGTGGTCGTGCTGGTGGTCGTGCGGGCGGTTGTACTGGTGCTGATGCTGGTGGGGCTGGCGGTCGGGCTGGTGGTCGTGCTGCGGTCTGGTTGGTTTTCGTTGTGGTTGTCGTGCTCGTTGTCGTGCTGGTGGCCGTGCTGGTGGTCGTGCTGGAGGTGACGCCCACGGTCGTGCTGGTGGTCGCGCTGGTGGTCGTGCTCGTGGCCGTGCCGGAAGAGGGGCCCTGGTCGTGCTGATGGGGCGCACGGGCGGCTCGCGCCGCGGAACCCAGGTGGGCATGTCGTGCGCCTGGTTTCTCGCAAGGAATGATCATATCCAGGGGCGCGGAATCACCCAACGGGAAGAACTCTAATTTTTGGTTCACGTCGACGGCTGTTTTTTTCTTCCGAGGCCCGGGATGCGGGGAGGCTGGCGCCTTTCGGGCAGGCCAGCGCCGAGGGAGCGTCGTGAGTGTGGGTTCGATTAGGAATGAGGATATGTAGGGGCGCAGAGCCGCTCAACAGGCCGAACCATTTTTTGGTTCATGTCGACGGCGAGTTTTCTTTGAACCCTTTTGGGCTCTATTGAGGATCTCTGGATGGCCTCGTGGGCCATCTTGGGGGGAGCTTAAGAAGAACTTAGGCGATGGGGGCGGGCCTCTGAGGCGAATCAGAAGATAATGAATGTGACGTCCGTAGCCCTGATTGTAGCTCCTCTTGGGGTTTTTGTTCGGTCATCGGGGGGCCCTCTTGGGCTGTCCTGGGGCCCTCGTGGGCCGTCGTGGGAGCTTGGGCCGTCTTGGGGCCACTTTGGGGCACTCTTGAGCTGTCCTGAGGCCTCCCGTGGCCCTCTCTGAGGCTTCCCGTGGCGCTCTTGTGGCCCTCTGGGGGGTCTCTTGGGGCTCTTGGGCTCTCCTTGGCTCTCTTCGGGCGCTATTCGGTCATCTTGGGATCCCACGGGGCCACCCGGAAGCCCTCTCCTCTGGGGAATATATTGGCCCGTCTTGGGGCAACCTGGGAAGCTCGCAGACCAGCCTTGTGCTGTTCTTGGCCAGAGAAGGCGGGACACACAAAATCCTTCAAACACCCACAGATAGACAATGCTTTTTTGGCTCTTCAGGCCCTCTTGGATGTTCTCGTGAGGGCATTCTCGGCCGTCTTGAAGCCATGTTGGGCTTTCTTGGAGCGCTCTGGGGCCGTCGTGGGGCCTTCTCGGGCCTTTGTGAAGACGTTTTGGAAGTGCCTTCAATGCTTTCTGCCGTCTTGGGCGCCCGTTTTGACCAATCTTCAGGCCGTCTCGGAGCGGCCCTGGGAGCATCGGGGGAGCCGAATTAGGTGACGGCCATCCTAAGGGTGTCCCTTATCATCTCATTCAAAAAATATATTCGTGTGAACACGCCACCGTGCCTTCAGCACGTAGCGGAGTGCGCCCCAAGGCTCACGCAAGTGTAGAGAGTTCGAAGGATTGAAACTTCTTCAAGGCCCAGGCTACAAATTTCCCAGAAACAGCGTGGCGCTTGTGGACGTTCCACGGGCGTGGCTGGTGGGACTCCGGAACGGTGAGCCCGCCCATCCCAGAGAGCGTCGAGGCGGCCCACGAGGGCCCGATAGCAGCCCACGATGGCCTCAAGACGGTCCAAGTTAGAGGCCCCCAGGTCGCCCCGACACGCCCTAAGGAGGCTCCAAGAGGCCGCCCAGGGGGTCCTCAAGAGGTTGCGACGCGCTATTCATCAAGACTTTCCTGAAGTTGATGCTCCCCCAAAACGCAGTCACCCTCATCACGGAGTCAGACAGTTCGGCAGCGATGTCATCACAGAGCAGGCTGGGCTTTCGAAAGCTCAAGCAAATCCACCTGCACCACGCGTTCGTGCAGGGTCTCCTACGAGGGGGACGGCTGGTGCCAGGGGTCCCTACAAACAAATACAAAAAACAGGAGCCTTGAAAAGCTCCTAGAGGCCGCCCCCTAGGCCTCCAAGAGATCCCCAAGAAACCCTGCAACAGACGCGGAGAAAGAGGAGGACGAATCGGCAGGCAGCACGACGGGAGCATCAAACAACGCACACGAAAGCGGAAGCCGCAAATAATTGTCCTCTTCTGGGGGTTGGCGGACTGGCTTAAGCCTCTGGAACAATTAAGAGTGGGGAAGATCCCAAAGCTATAGGATTCAAATTGGAATCGATGTGGATTCCACTAGACATGGCGCAGATCCCAGATCAAGAGGATTTCGACTGGATCCCAGGAGGGTTCCAATCAGAATGGAGCAGATCCCAGACACAGGGGATTCCAAGTGGGTTCGACTTGGATTGCAATTGGAATCCAAGAAGGCTGGAGCTGGGGATGGCGATGACGACTAGGCAGATCGCAGATAGCAAAATGAGAAAGATGAACCAGTGACGAGAGAGGAGGGCCCCACAGCGTCCCTCCCTCTCACTGCCAAGACCTCCGACGCCATGACTTGCTCGCATCCTGGACCCCTGGAGGCCTGGGCCTCCTTTCCTGGACACCGGCTCCTCGCCCCGAGTCGCTCTTGGCTGGTCCCGAGGCCTTCGAGTAGGGGATCGACTACAGACTTCGTCGAATCCATGACAAACATGCGGCGTCTTCCTTTGCAGATTCGACGAGGGGATCCATCCTGGGCCAGATCAATTCTGTGGCCGATCCCCTGCCTCGAGGCCTGGTGAGCCCCCCCCCCGAAGCCGAAGGCAGCCAAAAGAGCCCTCCGTCGTGACTCGATGGGCCTGTTTTCCGCCACCACAACCACACCACAAGGTGGTGGTGGTGGTGGTGGAAAGCAAGACCATCAGTGACTCTCCTTTTAGGGGGCCACATGCGAACCCTACCCCTAACCCCCACGATTTCTGAGGGGGGGTTCACCTTGCTCGAGAGCTCCCGAACCAAGTGAACCCCACCCTCCCCCTCAGAAATCGTGGGGGGCAGGGGTAGGGTTCGCATGTGGCCCCCTGCTTTTTGTCCGCGGCGCGAACAGGCCCCGCGCGCCTCGGCTCGGGGCACCGACCGCGGCAGGCCTCAGGAGAGGCCGTGCTCCTGCCGGGCGGGCGCGCACGCGGCCACGGCCTGCGATCCGACGTCGCCCGCCCCACCCCCCCCCCAGCAAAAAATACCACGCCGCGAGGAACCACGCGAAGGTTCTCTGATTCGGCGTCTCGACACTATGGGCGGAAGGGAGGGGGGAGGGGGGCGGGGGGGGTGGGGCTGGCTCCGGACCTCTGCTTGATGCGACTCTGCTGGCAGGCAGGGCGTCCTACAGGCCTCGTCAAAATGTCCAGAAATGGAAGCTGAGATCCTGGAGCGCGATGCTGTCGGGCACCTGTCAGAAAGCGCGGTCTTCAATGCTGAGAGGGTGGGGTCGATTCTGTTGACAGCACCGCGTCCGAGTCGGCAGGCATCCGTCAGCATTGGAGTAGCGCTGACCCCACCATCACCGAACTCAGAAGTCTTCTGTTTACCTTCGACGAGGCTTCTAGGGAGGGAGACTCCACCTGCTCGAGACAGGCGCCCGAAGCAGTCGAGACACACTCCATGGGGGGGGCAAGGGCGGGTGCGAGGGCCCGCGCCGATCGGCAACGCAACGCCTAGGAGAGCGATCACCACGGCGGGAGGGAGCCCCAGGCCATGTGTTTCTCCCGTGGCACTGCCCCGGCCGGAGCTCGGCCCGCGGGGGCCCCCGGGGCCCGACGCCGAGCGAGGGCGCCCGGCGTGGGAGGAGAGCGGCGCTGGGATCGCCGAGAGGGGCTCGCACCGCTCGGCGGCAAGCGAGGGGGGGAAGCGAGAGGGCGAGCGCGCGACGCAGACCCTCGGCCTGCACCAGCCGCACCTTCCGCGCGGCAGGTGCCGCGGCCGCAGCGGCGGCCGCAGCGGCGGCCGCGTCGCGGTCCGCACCTGCTGCGCAGCAGGGGGCGCACCACTCGGCGGCGCACCACTCGATACGTGAGCGCTGCCACCGCCGGGAGGCGCCGGGGGAACCAGCTGCATGAGCTGATTCGGCAAGCCCCCTTTTGCGATCCACCCTTTCTTCGGCGGAGAGGCTCAGGGGGAAGTAAGGTGAGCAGGGGCGGAGCTTCTCAGAAGGCTCGGAAGTCCCCCTGGCCTTCTGGGAAGTCTTCTGAGCCTTCCCCGAAGGCACAGAGAAAACTTCGCAGAAGGCGCGGGAAGCATTCCGAGAAGTCCCGCCGCCTTCTGAGGAGGCCCTCTCCTTCTCATCTTTCCCCCCTCCTCGCTCGCCGCCGAGCCACTTGAGGCGAGCCCCTCCACTCCTGGCGACTGCCGCGCGGATGGTCCGAGGGCGAGGGACACGGACTCCTGCCAGGGCCCCGGGGCTCAAGGCGGGGGCGCCCGTGGAGGTCGGCTCGCCAGGCAAGAGCCCCTGGAGAGCGGGGGGGCCCGCAGAGGAAGCCGTGCGCTCCTCCGGCAGTGCTCTTCGGGAGCCCACCAGCGAGGGGCGATCTTCTCCAGGCAATCCCATGCACCCGTGGGGGGGGCCCGTGGGAGGCAGCCACCTGAGCGCGCGAGCTGTGGGGAGCGGGCGCGGCCGCAGGAAGCGCGCCCCGCGCGCGGAGCACGACGTGGGGAGGGCAGCAAGGCACCCGGAATGCAGCAGCTTCTTGACGCCCGCGGACAGTCGCCGCGCAGCGCGCGCAGCAAAGAAACCCAGAGCATCCTCAACAAAAGCGTCTGGCTTACGCAATGCTGGGCTGCATGGCGGGCAAGAGATGCGACCAGCAAGCAGGCGCGCCGCCACCAGGCAGAAGAGGAACTGGGTGGTGAGATCACCGCGTCCTTGGCAATGACCCCTCAGGGCACAGCCTCCTGTAGCGCCCTGCCTCGCCTCCCAACCGAAGGAGGTGAAGGAGACCGCAGGCGGGCTCGAATGCTTCGCCCACTCGCGGAAGCCCCTGAGACGGCATCAACAACTTCTGGCTTCTTAATATGCGTCCCCACTGAGTTCTTGGCGTCGGCGGGCCCCATGACCCCTTCGCGCGGCGAGAAAAAAAACACGACGGCTGGCTCTTGTGGCCACTCTCGGCCTTCGAGAGGGGGGTCCTCCCGAGGCCCTGGGACCGTCAGACAACGACCCCGTCGGGATGGAAACCTGTCCCTGAGGGAGAGGGCCCAGACATTCGGGAGGTGGGTGGTCCACGGCTGTGGAAAGAGGAATAACAGGAACAACAAAAAAAACTGGCGAAGGACCCAACCATACGCAGTTGTGAATAACGCAATTGTTGGTATCGTCTTCGGTGGAGCTCCCTATGGGGCAGGAAACGTGTGAGGGCTGTGCCAAGATGGGCCCAGTTGTGTCATGCGAGCGCAGCCACTGGGGCCTTCAGTGGAGCTCCCCATGGGGCCACGAAACGTGTGAGGGGTGTGCCGAAATGGGTGCGGCGGTGCCATGCGAACGCAGCCACTAGAGCCTTCGGTGGAGCGCGTTGTGGGGCCACAAAAGGTGCGAGGGGCGTGCCGACATGGGCGCGGTGGTGTCATGCGAGCGCAGCCACTGGGGCCTTCGGTGGAGCTCCCAATGGGGCCGCGAAACGTGTGAGGGGTGTGCCGAAATGGGTGCGGTGGCGTCATGCGAGCGCAGCCACTGGAGCCTTCGGTGGAGCTCCCTATGGGGCCACGAAACATGTGAGGGGTGTGCCGAAATGGGTGCGGTGGTGTCATGCGAGCGCAGCCACTGGAGCCTTCGGTGGAGCTCCCTACAGGGCCACGAAACATGTGAGGGGTGTGCCGAAGTGGGTGCGGTGGTGTCATGCGAGCGCAGCCACTGGGGCCTTCGGTGGGGCTCCCCATGGGGCCACGAAACGTGAGGGGCGTGCCAAAACAAAAACATGCGGAGGGCATAGGCGACGAGGGGAAGGAGGGAGGAGCGGGAGGAAGAAGGAGGAGACGCGGGGCGCTGTCTCTTCAAAACGAGGGCCCAAAACCACAGGATGGTTGGGAAAAACAACAAGAACCAAAAAAAGCACGATGTCTGAGGTTCGTGGGGCGCTCAGAGAGGCATGTGAGGGGGACGCGGGGGCCTCAGATCCCCTCTCTGGGCCCAGAATCTGGCCGAGATCGGCGCGACATCCCCAACATGATGGAGATCGGCCGAGAGTTTGGCCGGCGCCCATTGACGGCAGCACCGGGTCCCACAATGGCGGAGGACGAGCATCATGTGCACCCTGTCCGCTGGACAGAGGGGCGCGACTCGTACAGATGGACCCGCCCCAAGCGGGGAAGCACCAAACAGCCCCTAACTCACGTGCGACTAACAGCAAGTGCAGCGATCCTGCAGTGGAAGGCCATTCGAGAGCTTCAAAGGCACCGCACAAACGGGAGGGCGTTCCTTGCTGTTGACAATGGAGTTGATCAGGTGATCTAGCTCCACCTCGCGCATGGTCAGCCCCCTTCTTCATCCTCTTCCTCCTCCTCCTCCTCCTCCTCCTCCTCCTCCTCCTCCTCCTCCTCCTCCTGCTGCTGCTGCTGCTGCTGCTGCTGCTGCTGCTGCTGCTGCTGCTGCTACTCCTCCCACTGCTCTCTTCTGCCCCTGCGCACGACGGCACAACAACTGCCCGTCACAGCAGGGACAAGGGCGACGATGGCTCGAGGAGGGCGGGCGGACCTCGACAGCCCGAGGGCGAGGCGCAGCGAGCGGGCCCCTCGCTCCCTGCATGGCGGAGGGGGGTACTGGTGGCTGCCCCTGCGACCACGCCAGCGCAAGAGTCCTGACGGCGCCGACCCATCATCGGGATCTTGTCGGGAACGTCGAGAGGGTCTGGTTCAAGACGGGTGATTTCGACGGCTGCTGGGGCGCCTCAGGTTGAGCTGTGGGGCATCAGGTCAGACTTAGGGGCCTCAGGACTCGCGAAAACAACCTTTTTCAACGAACCCTTGTGGCAGCCTCCGATCCTATGCCAAGTTTGAAAACGTGATGCCGTTTTTCGCGATTGCGGCCGTTACCGGCCTGGTCCGCCCCCCTACCCCCCAATCAGCGTCACGATTCGTCGGCTGACCTCCGAATTGCCTTTGGCTCCTCCGAGACGCTCCCAGACGGCGCAGGGTACGAAACGTGATGTTACCGGTTCCCTCTGGCATCATGGCCCCATCTCTGGCATAGTGGACCCATTGACTGCAACGCGGGACAGCAGCAACGGCGATCGCGGCAACGATCACGACGATTGAGAGAGTCAGAACGCCCAGGAAGCTGCGTCTCGCAGAAACCGGACTCGAGCGCTTGAGATCGCTTTGAATTTGCCCGAGATCTGCTGCGGGACAGCAGTTTGAGCGAACCCCGTGAACTCCAGACCCCCCTGCAGGATCGGCTTCCTGGATGCTCTGACCTTCGAGCGATACATGCTTGCGCCTGCGCTCGCTCGAGTGGAGGCCGCCCAGATGGGCCGAAGTAGACGGGGTCGGAGGATCGCACCGCATCGCCGATGCATCGGCGACACACTGGCGACGTCGGGGTGCAGAAAATCGAACTCCGGAGCGCGCCGCATCTCGCGATTGCATCGGCGATGCGGTGCGACCCTCCGGCCCCATCCACTCGGACACCATCTGGGCGACCTGGATTTCCTAGGTCACCCAACTTCGCACATCGCGCCCCACGATGCACGACGCGCAAGTTACCTTCGCGCGCTCGCGCCGCCCCTGGGAGAAGGCCAGCTTGGCGGCACCAGCCGCGACCGCGCGAAGCGCGGCCTGTCTTCCGGAGATCTGGCTCTCAGCGGGAAGACCAAAAAGGTACCCAATACCGCTACTCACCGGACCTCTCCCAGGGTGCACCCTGACCAGAATCCCACAGAGAATCCAGCCGCGGTGACAAGGGCTCTCCAGGACGAGTCGCGGCATTGGCATGACCTGTGCTCCTCTGACCCAGACGATGCGGGCCTGCGCTCGCGCTCGCTCAGAGGAACGCGGTGCCCCCGCGCCGCCGCTGCCGCTGCGCAGCGAGCGCCGCCCTGCCGCACCACCGCCCGGCCGCACCCGGGCGGGCGGGCGCGCGCGCGGGCGGGAGCCTCTCGCCGCGAGGCGCCGCGGCAGGCCCGCGCGGGGCCGCCGGACGGAGGGCCCGCGCGCCCGCGGGCGGCGCGGCCAGCGCGGGGGGCGGCGGGCAGGCAGACTGCAGCGCCAGGGGGGGCGCCGGCCCCGCGGCCGCCTGCTGGGCGCGCCCGGCGGGCCCGGCGGGCTCCAGGTGCGGCTCGGCCGCCTCGCGGACCGCCTCCGCCGCCCGCCAGGCGCCGCGAGGGGACACCCGCGCCACGGCTCGGAGGGCGCCCCGGTCGAGACAGCGGCGGCCCTCCCTGGCTCGTGCCGCCTGTGGGGCCTCCTGGGCTCGTCGCCACGACTGGATCTCCGCCTCGGGAAGCGCGTCAGGATGGGCACCAGGAGGGTCCTAGAAGCCTCGTCAGGAGTAAACAGAAGACTTCTCCATACGGTGATTGTGGGGTCAGCGCTACTCCAATGCTGACGGATGCCTGTTGACTCGGACGCGGTGTTGTCAACAAAACCGGCCCCACCCTCTCAGCACTGAAGAACGCGCTTTCTGACAAGTGCCCGACTGCAACGTGCTCCAGGATTTCAACTTCCATTTCTGGATATTTTTGACGACGCGTGTAGGGACCGATCCTGAGCGGACTCGGGCAAGGCGGGAGAGCCGCCGCTGCCTCAACTGGGCGTCCTCCAGGTGGTGCCGAAGACGCCGGGCGGGGAGCTGATCACCAGGGGTTCGCTCCCGGCCACCGCGGCTGGTGGCAGCGTGGGGTCCGCCTCGACGAAGTGAGCGGCGGCCTTCGGGGACGCACCAACGGCCCAAACCCGGGTCGGCCAGGGCCGGGTCGGCAAGCCAGACCGGCCCCTGAGGGGCTCCCAACCCCGGCCGGCGGAGGACGGGAAGGGGCACAGGGCCCCACGCGGTTCCCCTACAAGCCCAGGTCCGCCGCAGGGGCTTGGCTGACCCTTGCTAGCGCTGGCCCCCATGACGTGAGCCCCGAGGCCTCCAGCTCGCGCTCGTCCCGGACCTTCTCGGCGGCCCGCGCGACCGTCGCCACCGCCTCCAGCGCAGCCGCCTCGGGGCTGGCCGGCGGGGGCCCCGCGGGCTCGGGGCCGCGCCGCACGGCCGGCGGCGAGGCGCCGGGGGGGCGAACGAAGAGCCTGCCGTCCAGGTCGGGCACCGCGCCGAGGGGCTTCGCGTGGACGTGGCCCGTCGACCAGTCCTTCGGGGCCCCCAGAACCCTGTGTGGTGGACGCCGCGTGGTGACCTCGGAATCCCCAGTGACCCCACCGCGCGGTCCGTCACCGCACGGTTCTGGGACCTCAGAGGCCCCAGTCGCCCGAGACTTCCTAGGAGAGCCACCCGAGTCCCAAAGCAACCGTGCAGTGACCCCGACTCCCTGCTGACTCACCAGACAGTGTGGTCACCACACCGTTGTGGAACCCCCAAAGTCCATCAGCGGCTTGGCTGCCTGGGCAGCCGCGGCATCTGCTGGAAGGTACCTGAGCCATGGCCCCATGCCTGCGCCGCTCGCAGGCGCCGACGGGGGCACCATGAGGGCGCCGAGCAGCTGCTCTTGCAGGCGCCTGTCCCGCAGGTCCGCTGCACCCTCGGCGGGGGCGTGCATCTTGCCTGGGTGGAAGCCATCCGCCGAGGGGTCGTACCAGTCTGGCCAGGCGAACGGAGGTTTGTTGGTCAGCACCGGCGGCGACGGCGGGTCCCAGTACAGGGTGCCCATGCCGGAGCGGGAGGGGGGCATGGCTGCGGGGCCAGCCAAACCTGGCGCAACAGCGGCCTGGCTGCTCCGATGTAATCTTCAGCCAGCATGGCTACTGTCACACACCCACACACACACACAATCTCTCTCTCTCTCTCTGTCTCACACGCACACACACACACATACATCAACCAACCAACCAAACACGGGCGAGTGCAAATCGGAACCACTTCTTGTCGTGAATATGTCGCTCTTTGCTAGACGCAGAAATAATGAAGGAATTGAACCTGCCTTCCTCAAGTCGCCATCAATTTAGGCTCCAGGCCTTGGCGCTCTTGCGCGGTCCAACAGAAATACCCTCGTTCAATTGGTTCGGGCTTGCCCCCTCGCATATGCCCCCTTCACCTAGTGGCCACTACTAGCGACCCCCTCGTTTTCCCAACCAATCACCAACACACAACGTCCACGCATCCCCTGTGAAGAACGCATACAGGCAGCTGCAGACCCACCGAGTACCAGGAAGAGGTTACCTGCGACGGGCGAGCCCCACGGAGCACCAGAAGCACAGTGCACGCCGCGCTGCCGAGCTAATGGCGACACTTGGGGCAAGCAGGTGTGCCACGAGCGTCGCGCACGCGACGTCAATCGGTAAGATCCCTATGAGGCGGGAGAGGCAAGGGGCGGGGAGGAGGACGGGAACAGAGGGGAACGAGAAAAGGGGCGACACCTACACAGCAACCAGTGCGCCACCTGCCGACCACCTTTGCAGGTTGACGAGCTCCGTGCCGGGTACCACACATTCTGATCACCCCCGCCCCTGCCCCCAGGAATATCGCGCAGGTAAGAGCAGCCTCTCTGTTGGCATCGGATTATTTTTTCCCGAAGGCAGATCTCGAGGGGGCGAGCGTGACCACGTCGAGAATGAAAGCCAACTGGCCCCTTGACAACTCTCGATCCCTCTCTGCGCAGAAGGCCCCTATGCACCACACCATGCGGCGCCAGGGCCAACCTGAACCCTGGCATGGTGTCCACGCCCTCCTGGCCGAGGCCACGAAGGCATGTCCGCTGGCCCTCTCGGGGGCCAGCAGGCTGCGGAGCTGAGGGCTTCCTGCAGCCAGTTTCCAGTTGCAGTTCTCCAGGTTGTGAACTGCTCCTGCACCAGTTGTAACTATACTAGTTGTCCAGTTGTAGATTGTTGTACATATCCTGCAGGTCCTGAACCAGTTCTCCGATTGCAGCCTTACCAGTACCAGCGTCCAGTTCCCGATGTTCTGATTATGGTTTCTGCATCCTGCTGCAAATTGTTGCTGTCTCCGCGAGGGAGGGGGAAGCACAACACCCCCCATCCTCTTACCTTCTCCCCGCAGAGGTGTTCAAAAGTCCCCTGGGGGCCCCAGGACATTAAGAATCTCACAGATCCGCGCCCCCAAGGCCAAAATTATCAACAAGGTATCTCAGATCCATGCCCTTGAGACCACGACCCCTTGTAAATTACGCCAGGCTCGCGTCCTGGAGGCCACGATCCCTCGTAAATTATGTCAGGTCTGCGCCCCCAATGACTTCGGACTCGCATCCCCGAGGCCACCATCGTAAACTACACCGGATTCGCACCACCAGGGCCACCATCCCTCGTAAATCGCGCCACGTTCACGCCCCCTAGGCCACGATCCCTAAGAAATTTCATCAGGTATATAAATTTTACCAGGTTCACGTGCAAATTACGCCCGATCTGCGCTCCCGAAGCCACGATCTGTAGATACTGCAGATGCGCGCCCCCGAGGCCACGACCCCTCGTAAATTGCACCAGATTCGCGCGCCGAAGCTACAACCCCTGGTTAATTACTCACGGTTTGAACGCCCTTGGCCACGATCCCTTCGAAAGTGCCCCAACTTCGAACACCCGAGGCGTCGTTCCCTTGCAAACTACGCCAGCATCGCGCCCCCGATGCCACGATCCATTCTGTGAATATCGCCGGAGGCGCGCCCCGGAGGCTACGATCCCTTGCACGTGACGCCAGGGTCGCGCGCCCCCGAGGCGTGAGAAACGAAGCGATTTCGCGCTTCCAGGGCCACAGATCCCTCGCTAACGACAGAGCGTCGGCAATCCTGAGGCCACGATCCCTCGTCTCAATTACAGCAAGCTCCGCGCTCCCGAAGCCACAACCCCTCTGCACGTTACAACAGGTTCGCGCCCGCGAGGCCACAGCCCTTCGCAAGACAGAACAAACTCCTGCCCCCGAGGCTCCGAAGACACCCCGCGGAGGCAGCCCAGAAGCGCCACCCCGTCTCTGGAGTAGATTAACGAAATGCGTATGCATTGGGACATTGTGTCTTTTTCTTTGGGAGGGGGGGACGCTTGTCGGCCCTCCCCCCGCCATTTCGTGAAAACTCTGCGCCAGACCAGCAGCCGCGAGTCTCCGAAAAGAGCGATAACCAGAAAGAGCCCCAAGGACACTCCTAACCGCGCGATTATTCTCAATATGGCCACAAACAGTCCCCAGTCGTTCTAAGAGAGCTCCTACTACACAACACGAGGGAAACGCTCTGAGAAGGCAACAAAGCGTTCAACCATAACTTCAACATCTCAACATGTCCTGCTGATTGCCTGCCCTCCTCGCATGATGTGTCCCAGATGACTTCAAGACGGCGCCGAAACATCCTAATATAGCTCTGATCAGGAGGAGGAGGAGGAGGAGGAGGAGGAGGAGGAGGAGGAGGAGGAGGAGGGAGGAGGAGGAGGAAGGAGGAGGAGGAGCAGGAGAAGGAGGGGAGGAGGAGGGGAGGAGATAGGAGGGAGGAGGAGGAGGAGGAAGGAGGGAGGAGGAGGAGGAGGAGGAAGCCCCTGACCTCTTGTACGCGGGGGGGGGGGGGGGGGCCGCGCGCGCGACGGGCCGCCCCGAGAGGACGGGGCTCACGCGTGCCGCCGCGCCGCCGCGCGCGATAGCTGCGGCGGAGGGGCCATATGAACCCCCCCTGCTCCTCCGCCGCGGCTCAGCTGCGGCAGGGCGGCCGCGTGCCAGCAGAGGCGGGCGCAGGCTCGCCTCAACGCCCCAGTGCCCACGGGGCGTGAGGGCGAGGAGTCCTGGCACAGGCGCAAGCGCCCCGCTCGCACACAGGCAAGATTGCTGTGCCGCGTCGCGGCTGCGGCGCAGCTGCTGCAGGAGCACCACAGTGCCCAGCGGCATCCAGGTATGAAGGGGCAGTGGAGCAAGCAGCAGCAGTATGGAGGATGGCATGAGCGTGATCAGCGCCCGTGGAGACAGATGAAGCCAGGAAGAAGCCAATCTAGGCCAAGGGACCAAGAGAGTTCCCAGCATGACAAAAAGAAAACCAGGGTGTATGATAATATTCCGATTGTTACGCTTGAAGATGCAGCACAGCATGGAAGTTTCTCGTGGCCCCCAGAGGGCAAGGTACAGTTGACAGACTTCAAGCAGAAGCTGACAGCAGGCCTGGACAAGTTGATCAAAATGATTACTGCTGCAAACGATGCGGGGGAACCTTACGTCGCACAAGCTGCGGCCTCCTCCCCCACAGCATCCACTAGTCCCACTACAGCCTCAGCAGCCCCCACAGCAGGTCCCAGCGCAGCCTCAGCAGCCTCAGCAGCCTCAGGGGGATCCACGGATCAACACGTTGCTCGAGCAGGTCTCCAGATTAACACACATGATCACAGAGCAAGCCTCAGTTCAAGCCGAGATGAAGCAGCATGTGATGCAGCAACAGTACCAGCAGCACCAATGGATGCAACAACAGCAGCAAGCGCACATGCATCAGATGCCGCAGCAGCAATTCTATCAGCCACAATATGTCCCACACCGGCCTCAGTTCCCTGATCCCCAGCCACAATCGGGAGGCCACAGTATCTCCCAGGCAGAGCACGAGCGTCAGCTTGCTGAGCTCATGACAATGCAAGAGCAGCAGGCACGGGCCGAGGACGCAGCCGAACTCGCTCAGTTTGATCAGGAGTATACGGCCGCGGAGAATGCACAACAGCAGCAAGCCATTATCGAAGCAATTCAACGGGCAGAGGCGGCAGCGGCTACGAGGGCATTAGAGCAAGCGGCGGCAGCAGCAGCATCACACCCCACCCCAGTTCCGTCGCCCAGTCAGTAAGGCCAGCCTCCCCTGCCGAGTCAGAGCCCACCCCCATTTCCAGATTAGCATCACAACGATCTGGCACAGCGTGTTGCTCAAGAGGCTCAGGCTCAGGCGCAGGCATTGTACCGAGACAGCTCGCACGCGCCGCCGTCTCCGCATGCTACAGCACGAGAGGAGGCACAGGCAGCTGAGTATGAAGCGGAGTCTGCAGCTATGGCAGGTGATGAGGGTTGAGCACAGGCAGATCGCTTTCGTGGACGCGACGTATCTCCGACATCGCCCGCCTCGCCAACGTCAGTTGCTGAAGTTATCTCATCCCCGCATGCTGAAGTGGACCCATATGCAGCCTCCGCCAGCCCGATCGTGCTCAATCCTGAGATTGCTGCGCTGAAGGGATCCAGGGGTGCGCAGGCTGGAAAAGGACCATATGGCAATGCTAGGAAGTCGGATCGTGGACCTATGGCGCCATTCTTCGATAAGCGCACAGCACCACGAGAGCAGCCACCGTCGGGGCCCCAGACCTTCCAAATCGGCACCCCCCCTTGAGACGCGAGTGCAGTGGCTACCCCATATGATCCCGATTGAAGTGACAGTCGCTATTTCCGCTCGGCTCCGCCAGCTAAGTTTCGCACGGGCACGCGTGAAGGAGGTGACGGATTGAGTGTCATGTTGATCGTGCGCGTGTACCATGACAGTCCAGACCGTCGTCGTCTCACGATGGTGGAGCTGGAAAACAGTAAGCTGGCACCCTCTGTCCTGGAGGGCTGGCCGCCAGGATGGAGGACTGATAGCAAGCAGGGCCACGCGACAATCACGAATTCATGGCATGTTGCCCTCACCGCCTCAAGATTGTGGGAGGTCACGGACGGCCAAACATAGGCTAGCTTCTCCGAGGACGGTAAATGTTTCATCATCGGCCTCGCCAATGTACTTTTTGTCTG